ACGTGCATTCGATAGAACCTCCAGAATCCCGGAACATTTCTTCGCCATTATTTTTGCATTTCGCGTATTAGAGGGCGAACGCACGCGGCGAAAACCAATGCTCCCGGGAAATATAGTCTGTGTTATAAGGCACGCGTTCGTGAGGAATCCAAATATCGCAGGGAGATTTTAAGGTAGCATTATGTGCAGCACACTGCTCCACGCAATACCATCCTCTGCGGCAAAAGGACTAATAAAACTTTGCTATTTACTGTGTAGTCTACGTTTTATTCTGGCCATTCTTTTTATGAACAGCAAAAAGAAAATATGACGAGAATGTATTCTCGATGTCACAATATGCCCGGAAATTGTTTCATTCTCAGCCTTACAGTTTTGTTGTATTTCGTACCGTTACAAAGTCATATAAAAAAAAAACAAAAACACGCAACAACTTTAAGGGCTGATTTCACCCCTCCAAAGTGAACATGGATACGAACAAAAATTGCTGTAAGCATAGTTCAGTATGCTCTATATTTATGCAAAGTTTGATTAAAATCAAAATTTTCGGGTTCGAAACTTTTCCTTGTAAGTGCGGAAGTCGCAGGAAAGTTAATCTTTTATTTATTAAACACAAACCTAACCTAACTTACCTAACCTAACTTCACCTTGCACAGAATTAAATCTAATTTAAACATTTGGAAAACGTTTCTTATATACTTTATAAAATATTACTATAGCATTTTTAAAACGTCTTTAAACATTCCTAAAAAGTTCAGAGAATGTTACTTTTACACATTCGGAAAACGTTCTGAGACTGTTGACACAGGACGTTCCACTTTGTAAATAGGACCTTCCTAGGACATTTATAGATCTTAACAAGAGCGTACGGGGGACATGAACTTTTCGTGACATCCTCCGAATGTACCAAACGTCCAGAACGTACGTTCTTCGGATATACATTATACAATACTAGCTGACCCGGCAAATGTTGTTCTGCCTAAATTTACATTTAAATTTAATATTGTTGATATGAAAATTATATACACAAAAAACTACATTTTCGTAAATATCTCCACTCCAGCACCACCTATCGGCTCCAAATTTTGCCAAAGACTTTCTTTTTATTTAAATATTATATGGTGTGAATTTGAGCCAAATCGATCCATAAATAAGAATTTTCGAAAAAAAAAACGACCCCAGCGCCACCTAGGGGGATCCAACACAAACAAAAACAATCCGGAGCACCACACGAACATATGGTGTGAATATAAGGTGGATAGCTTCAGTGGTTCAGCCGTGATGGTCAGACATACATACGCACCAACGTTTTTATATATTAAGATGATACAAAATAAATATAAAATGTATAATAAATTAAGTTATGTAAAGTCGGAATTAAGTATTAACATTAATTCTGACAAAAGCACTCTGTCGAGGTTTGATAGTTCTAACATTTCGATAGTCGAACAATTGATCCTATAGGTTACATGATATCCATCGTCGAGTATATATCTTCTAAAGGAGTAGCCTCGTGTTTCACAGAGATACACAAGGGCAAAAAAGTGAGAATTTTGGTGGTGGGTCCGAGCATCGGGAAAAATACGTTTTCACGAGCAATCGAATCCAAAGGCTTCGAACACATATCATCTGCATCTGGCGGCTCGCGTGGCTGCTCCGGGGTGGCAGCCACGCTGGTACGCGCAGACGCGCATTTCTACTGCGTATCCAATGTTTATCCCGCAGCCCCGAGGTTTCGATTCGCAATCACGTGGTCGGAAAGAACACGCATCCGCTCCACCTGCAACGATTCCAATTACCCTGCTCCACCGGATGCACGCAAAGGCTTTGCCTTACGTGGGCGTTTGTATATTACACGCGCGCGTGTGCGAGTGTGTCCTTTCGGTTGTCGCCGTCCTATTCCAATTTTCTGACGCAAAACGATGTTTAAACGCACATACCGAATGAACATTGGACAACGATCAGAATGGGGATCCCGTCCTCAATGGGTAAGAGGGATCGAGGAGTGAGTAAAATGCACAGTTCGATGGGAAATTTATTGGCAAGTAATTAAACAAATGATACGTGGATGTATGGAAAAATATGACTGTATGGGATTATAAGAATTTATTGGGCAGGTGAATATTAC